TCCAGCCTTGCTTGAATCTCTATCCCAATCTGTGGGACCAAGTTGGGGGATTGGGCCCTCTTGCCAAGCCAGCCTGGCTCCGAAATCCAGCCCACCTCTTTATATTCTCTCCATTCCTTAGCTGGATCTGGGCTAACCATTCCTGAGAAGAGAGGGGAAGGTCTCCTTAGAGCCTCAGGGGGGGCCGGGGGTTCCTTCAAGCCAGCCCCCCCCTCATCAAACCCCACACTGGCTAAGAAGGTCATGGAGGGGGACCCGCGCTCTCGGTAAGCGTTGACACCAATTGCTCTAGTATCATTAGCTCTAGCACTTGTTCCGCCGTCTTTCCTTTCGGTTGTATCCATCTTGTGGCATTCACTCTCATCTTCGGCCAAGGGCACCCCATGGGGGGGGAGCAGGACATTTCCATAGGGGTGGCCCCATAATGCCCTCTCTTGCACACCCATCCTGGCTCAGTCCTTCTAGCTAAAGGGTCCCCTGGATCTGGGGTCGGAGAAGAATCTTTGGGGGGGGGGAGAGAGAGATTTTTGACCTCTGGGTCTTTGTCAGAGAGAGGGAGGGAGGGGAGAGGAAGAGAGGGGCAGCCGGGCCCTGTTCTTTATGGCAACGCAAACCTTGTTTGTGGGTTTTGTTTTCTGCCTGGGTGGGTGCAGGAATTGGTTCATGGCCCTAAATGCAACAAGGAGGGGGGGGGAATGGATTCTGTCTTCCTCCCACTACCCCTCTAAAAAGCACCCTTTGCTACCGTATTCCTCCCCCCCCCCCCCCCCGGAGCCTCNCTGCCCATCCCTGTGTTTGTTCGCCTGGGGCTTGATCCTGTCACAGAGGAGAGCTGAGGTTGCTTTTTTTTTATCCGACTGCAGCTTCCATTTTCGGCCTTGCTCGGAGGCCTGGCTCGTGTCTGGCTTGAAAAGCCAGTTCTGGCTCTCTGATTTCCTCTCTGGGCCGTAGACGAAACCTCTTCCTTCCTCCAGCGACAGACCAGGCTGCCAGAGGCGGGGCAGGCAAGGAAAAAGAGGAATAATCCTGGTGCTGGGCCCGTTGAGGTTATCCTCTGTAAAGGATTCCAGGTGGGACTCTGTTGATGAGTCTACCCTAAGATGGTCTGCCTCAGATTGGTAGCTTCTCCAGCTATTGGGCTGCATGCCCCATCATCCCTTGGCATGCAGTCAAATAGGTTGATGGGCCTTGTAGTTTGTCAGGATCTGGAGACCACGGCTCTCCCTCTCCTGGGCTCCCTCCCCTTCTAACCAGAGATGTCCCCAACCGAATCCAAGACTTCCGAAATCCTGATCATTAATGCAAATTACTTATTATCAATTGCGTGTGCGTCCTACTTTTAACCTCGCCAGTTCAACGCCGTGTCCATCCTCATTGCTGCTGTATTCTTACAACCGTCTTGAAACGCCCAGAGAGAGCGTGTAGGTTCCAGAGCACAGGAAGGAGCGCTGATAAAATCCCTTATCTTTGGTCAGAGACACTACATGGGGTGCGCGCTTCCCCCACCACCACCACCACCACCATGGGGCAGCTTCTGATGCCATCACTCTTAACTTTAGCGCACGGAGGATTGATAGTGCTTGATGGTCCTCGGAGTGCCTTCACGTCTTGGGTAGAATCTGGGGATAATCCTGTAAAGGCAGCTGCTTTAGCTGTGTCCTTCGCAGACCCCAGATATGCAGCTGCGTGCTGTAATCGTTCGCTGGATGGTCTTCCAGCTCACGAACCTTCGTCCCACCGACTTTCTGCTTCTTTGCGTGTTTATTCACTGAAGCATCGTTCCTTGCGTCTGGGTGCCGTGCGATTAGATTTTAATCCCCGAACCCTGTTCAAGAAGTCACTTTCTGACTATGAAAGGAGTGCTGGCTACTCAGATCCCGCTGGAAAACCTTGGTGTTTTCATTTTCTTGGGTCTGATCATATCGTCGTCGTCTTCCTGGGGAGAGTTTCCCGGCCTCCCTCGAGTTGTTATGTCCATCCTTATAGGAAATGCTTTAGTGTAGGAGGTTGGCCGTGTGCTGTAGGTAAGGTTTCGGTTCAGGGCTGGTCTAAAATCAGCCGTTCACTGTGCAAACACAACCCGGCCAGGGGGGGGGAGGATCGAGTGACTCGGATGAGGGCCCTCCAGCCTCAAGGAGGTGAGTCCGAGGCAGTTGTCTTGGAAAAGCAAGGTTGCTGGATTTTTTTTTTTAAATTTTCATATAGAAACCCACCACCCTTCTGGTAAATATTTTGTGATGACCTTTGATTTTTGAGCACGTAATGAAGCCAGAAACGGCTCTGATAAATGTCACTGGGGAAAATATAAGATGCGAGTGAAATGATCTTTCGTTTTTTAACTCCTCCTCTGAATCTTTTTCTCCTCCTCTCTGGAGTCAAGCAATCTACTCGAAGCCCAGGAAGATTTTGCCCCAGATTTCATTTTTTTCACATGCGTGAACCAGTAATGTCTCGGATTAAGACAATTTACGCTTTCCCCCCTCTCCCTTAATCACCTCGTTGGCCACATGTTTTCTCAGAGGTAAGCACCGGTTTTGCTTGATGGTATTTGATTCTCTGGAACGACACAGTGTCATTCAGCATGGCCAGCTGTCCACAGCTAACCGAGGGCCACCGTTTATGAAACCGTCATGAGACTGTACGTTTTTCAAAATCACCTCTTGATTCCCTTTGGGAGAGTTTTGTCTGAAACCGTTGGAAGGATTTCCCTCACCCTAATCCAGAAGCCAGGAGAAAATGGCGCTCCAGATCTTTTCTGGACTACAGCTCCCATGAGGATGCATTCTGCTGGCGAAGGCTGATGGGCGTTGTGGTCCAGCAAGCTTTTGGAGAGCCATCCCTGCTGTCTGTCCGGGCTACCGAAAAATGAGACCCTCCTTTTACAAAACGTTGGTTCTTATTTAAATCATAGGGAAAGGACGGATGGGTTATTAGACTGTGTGCTTCACAAGGGATGTTTTTAATCAATGTTGGTGATGAAACACAGTTCAAAAAAGTTTTTTTGAAAAAGTTACAGGAGCGAACAACATGCTCTCCTCCACGTTTACTCAGAGTTCAACATGGCTTTCTTTGAAGGGAACACGGATGGGGTGACAGCCTGAGGGAGTAAACTTGATTGAACTCGAGGGTGGAATTTGCTTCTGAGTAAACATGATAAGGATCAGGTTTGTCAGAGAGGCCCGGATTGGTTAAATAAGTTTGAAATCGAGAGATAAAGCCAGCGGTCTTGTGAAACCCACAGCTGGGAAGTCAAACTTGATTGTTCCGGGGGATTAATTGAGCAAGCCGGAGTTACGAAAGCCTGGAGTATATCTAAATGGCATTTATTTATTTTTTTTGCATGAGAGAAGTAGGTATTTGGTTTTCTTGGAGAGGGGGTCACCTCACAAGTGTCTGTGGCTTCAAGAATACAGAGACAGCTGGTCTCAACTGCACAAAAGCTATGCTTTTATCAGGGAAAGGGTTGGCTTGTGGAAGAAAATAGGTTCTGTAGTTCTGTATACCCCAGAGAGTTTGTCTTATTTTAAACTTTCCATAAAAGGGTAGTGCTCCAAATGAAGATAGCTGGCAACTCCCCATCAGCCTTCACTGGCAGAGCCATGGCTAAGGATTCTGGGAGTTGTAGTCCAAACACATCTGGAAGGCGGCAGTTTTGTCTATCCCAGCTTTTGAAGTTTAGATCCTCCGCCTCTCGCTTTCTGGAAACCAAATCAGAGAGAAGGGTCAAAGTGGCTCGGAAATGGCCAGGGGAATTGAGCAAGAGAGAAACTGGCCTCCCGTTTCCCAAAGCTAAACCTTCTAAAACAGCTTTCTGGATTTTTAAATATGGAACAGATAGCGTGAAAAAGAAGAAGGGTACCTTCAAAGCCGTAGAAGCCCAGATCTTCGACACAATGCCCACCGAACAGTCTTTACCTAGCAGTAAAAGGGTAACAGATAGGGGCAGGGTAACTGACTCCCAGTGGCCTCACTGTTGAAGATTCTGGGAGTTGTAGTCCAAAAAAGGCCTCTGTTGAGATTATCCACGTACCAGGAGGGACAAGAGGCCGTGAAATGATTTGTGGATGGTGATAATTAGCATCTGTTCGGAAAACCGAAAGTGTGTTGTATAAATTCAGCCTCTGGCTGTGGAACATGGGGCGTAAACCAGGGCCCTCCAGGTGTTTTTGGACTGCAGTTCCCGTCATCCCCAAAGATGAGGGATGGAAGGAGTCACAAGGAGGTCACGTGATCCAAAGGGTTACGCTTGGCTCAGTTGTGCAACGGAAGTTCAGATTGCGAGCCAGGATGTGTGTTTGTCACTTTTTGGATGTTGAACCAGGGGCGCTTTTAGCAAATCGGACTAAGAGGGGAGCTTGGGGACGGAAGAAGGAGAAATAACCTCTTCTGTGTTTCCCCCGAAAATAAGACAGGGTCTTACATTACTTTTTGCTCAAAAAAACGCATTAGGGTTTATTTTCAGGGGTTGTTTTATTTTACAGTCCTGTCCTCTTCTTCTGGTCGCTGCACAAGGGTGGAGGGCAGAGGTTTCACTTAACTGGGGCTTATTTTGGGGGTAGGGCTTATATGACGAGCATCCTGAAAAAAACCGTACTAGGGCTTATTTCCTGGTTAGGTCTTATTTCTGGGGAAACAGGGTAAATATCCTTCTCCCGCCTCTCTTGAGGGTGCAAGAGGGGCACAGTGTTGTGAATCCAGGAAAATAAAAGAAAGTGGTGCATGGAGACCATTGCCTCCAAACCTCCTTAACCGGAATGATTTAATCCCCGACGATTTCGGTCTGCAGATCTGAAGGGGGAGGATCATGCAGCTCAGATGCCAGTCATTGCGAAGCTACGGAAAGGCAAGGCCGAAAGGAAAGAAACTGCGGCATGGATGCCCTTTGGGGAGATTCGCCCTGGTTTGTAGAGAAGGTCAGGATGCGTGCTTGAAAATATATATAAATATATGTCTAAAAAGACAAATTATTTAGAACCGTCATCTTTAAACCTGATGAACGACAAAGCCCATGGTCCCAATTTTTTCCCCGTGTAGGCTACTACAGACCTCTAAACGTGGCTGTTCTGCATTTTTCAGCGCTACCCCCTCGTCTTGGTCTCCTGGGCTGGGATTCCACTTGCCACAGGCGATCAGGCAGATCAAGAATCGTGATGTAATCTTGCTGGAGGTGAAACTGTCTGCTTGTGGAGGCAGAAAGTAGGAGGAAGTCATTCTTTATGTCCCCACCTAGTGTCGGAGAGGAGAGAAATCAGTGGCTCTTCTTCCCATGACGGACTTTGGAGGCCTGCGTTCTGCTCAAACCTGGCAGAAAGTTTACACCTTCCCTTGCTTTTAAATCTTGGGGTTTTGTGGTGTTTGTTGACCTAAAAAAAAAGAGAGAGAGCTCGTTCCGGCCACGGGTTCTTCCTGTGTTGGCTTTAATCTTCTTTTTTAATGGACATTCTGTGCCTGCCCATCATCTGTGATCCTTGATTTATGAAGAACTTGTAGTCATGCTAGAAGTCAATGAGAGCCTCAGTCGCCTTTGTGAAAGAGGTGATCAAACTCTCGCTTTATTTATTCCGTGGCTTCTCTGGAGGCAAAGAGGGGTACAGAAGCGGGTTCGGTGCAAAACAGGGAATGCTTTAAGGGTCTTCCGATAACTCCGTTCCTCGTCTCCCATGAAAGGTTGTTTTGCTGTTCCTAACTCTTCTGAGCTTGGGAAAATTAACTTTTTTTTTGCTCTTTCTTCTTCATTTTTTAAAAGAGTTTCTCCAGGGGGCAAATACAGGCAGAGTGGAAATCACAGGTGCCAGGAGGGAGAACGGGCGGGTTTTCCAGTAATCAGGAGGTTCAGCTAATCTGTTCATGTTATCTAGATCCTGTCCTTGGCGTTCTCTGTCCTCGTCTCCGTGCCAAAAAGAATGAGGCCTCGAGAACAGCCGCAAGGTTCTGCTCCAGGCAAGGTGGCGGCCGGGGCGCATCTCGGGGAAAAGGGGCAGCGATTCTTTCCCCAAATTTAGGTTTGCTAGGCGTGGGATGGAATTAAAACCTGCACGGCTGGTGTTTTTGTCTGCCTGTTTTAATGCTGGCCTGTCTTGCAGAGGATGTCCAATAGCAAGGAAGAGCCACCGTAGGCTTCTAAACACCGGGCAGTAACGAATGGTGCTTCGTCATTTTTTAAATCCTGGAGATGGTCGTTTGCAGGCTTGCTTCCTGGGGAGAAGGCCAGGGTTGGCTTGGGGGCTTCCGGACATTCACGGTGGTGAAGGTTTGAGGATTTTTCTTTTTTACTCTCCAAGCCACTGAAGTTAGCATGTGGCAGGAGGAGAGCACACCATATTGAGAGCCTGTGGTGCTCCTCTCTCTCTCTCTCTCTCTCTTTTTTCTGCTTTTCCATACTTCATCACTGCAGCGATTAAGAAATAAATCAATACCTTCTCGCTCGCTAGGCTGAGCGTGTCTGTCCAGCCACAGAGTTTTTCTGCATAGGGGGGAATGACCGACACACAAACGCAACTCGGAGAGCCGAAAAGGTTTTCGCTTCTCTTTAGAACAGCGATTATTCCCAGTTCCTTACAAAATGTGGCACAGTCAAGGACAAATATAAATAACAAACATCTCTTGAACAATGAATTATGGTACCCTTGAAGTAACTCGAGAGCCTTGTTTGTATATGGAAAGAGAGAGAAAGTAGGGCTTGTTTTAATGTTTCTTTCCCAAAGTAAGCAAAGTCTCTCAAGTTTAATATAAATAAATAAATAAATGAATGAATCCTGGCCTTCTGTCAGGCGTGGAGCTGTCTCTGGGGGCTGCCTCCCTCTTCGCTCTCCTTCCTCTTCTGGTGAAAGCAATGTTGTTGTTGTTGTTGTTTTTTAAAAAGCCCCACAGGGTGACTCTCAAGCGTACATGGAAGAGCGGAGATCTATGGCTCTTGGTGAACGGTGGGGAGGAGCTGCAGCCGCTTTTTAAAAGCCTTTTAAAACAAAAACAAAAATCAATCCCTGTGTTATAAATGGCAACCATCCAAGCCACAAAGACCGACAGGTCCTTAGAAAGCAGGTATCATGGGGTCCGTTTTGCTATTCAGAAGGGGAGGGAGGGAGAGAGAACCAAAGGGTTTTTTCCCCTCTACAGAAAACACAGGTGGAAACGCCATCCCGTTTCCCCTTCTAAATAGGCCGCCTGGCATCCCGGACGGGGTGCTCTGCCAAGGGGGCTTGATTTTGGAGGCAGACGGATCGGGGGGCCCCCGAGAGAAGGTGGGGGGCGTTTTCAGGTCTCTTGGAAGGCGTCGTCCGGCTTAGCCTCAAGGGCCCCGGTTCTCCAGAAGCATCCCGTCAAGGGTGTTGGTGAGATTCTCCTGCGGGCCTTGGCTTTCTTCGCCCCTTGCTTGGAATTTCAAGAATGCCGGTTTGTTTTCCCAAGTCTCAAGAGCAGCCTCTCCCTCCTGCCCGGGCGGACGGTTCTCCGGCCGGTCCTTCTGGTCCACTTTGGGTGGTTGGGAACGGCTTCCTCCCTCCCCTCCGGATGTCCCGGGAAATGCAGGGTATTTTCTTTTTCTGCATGTGCCGCAAGCAACGGAGGAGTTGTTCAGGGGAGTTGTTTGCAGAGAAGGCCGAAGCTCCTTGGCAGTTCTGGTGGTACTCGGCTTTATAACCCCCATGGGATAGGGAATTGATTTGGACATAATTTACAACAGGCCTTCGGTAAACGTCTCATTTCCCCAGACGTCTTCCTTTCCCTTCTCTTCTCCAGCCTGGTTTTATCCATGTAGCCAAGGCTGGTCAACAGGGACCTGTCCTCAAATAGGCTTCAGCTTGACCTGGGCCTAAGACTTGCTTTCACATGAGCATTCCTGCTTTGGAGATGTTTTCTTCCGAAAAGAGAGAGAGAGAGAGAGAGAGAGGCATTTGTAAGCTCTTTACTTCATTTCTGGCAATGCTGTTCTGTTTCCTAGAGCCCTGAAATGATTATATATTTATTTTTTTAAAAAAAATACAAGAGGAAGGTGAGGTGGCTGTGAAGCTCTGAAAGGTCCCGGGTTGGGTTTTGTGTGTGTGTGTGTGTGTGTGTTGAGATTTGTGTAAATGTGCCTCCTTGAAGGGACCGTGAATAACCAGTTGGAAGGGAGGTGGAGGGAACCCATCAAGCATGACTCCTTTCAATCTGTGGTGGTGTCTCTTGTTGCCCACGGCTGGGGTGGGGGTGTGGGTGGACCTTCCGGATGATCTCGTGGGGGGTCTCACTGGGCCTTTGGTGTGTCTCCTTTCAGCGCACAGAGGACGGAGGGCTCCGGCAGCACCGCCACCTGCTAGCCATTGCCCGTCATGCTGGCCTGCCTGCCGGGACCCGGCGAACTCTCCTTCCCGCTGCTCTCTTACCCGCAGATGAACACTGGACTTCAGAAATGTAAGTCGCCCTGTGAATGGCGTCGGCAGCAGGCCCGCTCGTGCCCGGAGGAGGGGAATTGGGGCCCTTAATCTGGACTCTCTTTTTTGTATTCTGGGGGGGGGGAGTGGTGGAACGTAGGTGGCTTTGGCGGAGGAGCAACAGCGCCTGCCTGGGCCGATGGCCGTAGGCGCAGCAAATGCTGCCTTATGCAGGATCAGAGCAGGATTGCTCACCTACTTCAGTATCGCCTGCACGGACCAGCAGCTGCTCTCCAATGGGGTTTCTTTTTTGGGGGGGCGGAGGGGGTGGCAGAGATTTTCCCGAATTCTAAGCGTTCCAGAGGGCCTGAGAAATAGGATGAGTTGGCAGGGTCTTCTGCGAACCCCCCCCCACGCACGCACACACGCACACATCAGGAGGGAGGTGGCTGCGCCCCTATATGCCTGCTCTGTTCTTGCTTCACCCCCTTTTCCAAACCATTCCGTACGGGATGGGCCACTTTGCTCTGCTGCTTAGGCGGGACTTGACCGTGGCGGGGGGAGTGTTCTGGTCAGCAACCTCTCCTGGAAACCAGCTGGTCTGCCCTGAAGGGAGGCTCCCCGTGGCCCTTGGTGCGAGTCCTTGTTCTGCTCTGTCAAGCGAGGAGCTGAGCTTTTGAAACCGTTTCCTTTCAACCCCTCACTCTTTGCTGGATGGGAAGAGTAGCTGATGGACTGGATAGTTAAAGGGCCGCTCTGCTGTAGCATTTCTAGGAAGAGAGACTTCCTAGAGTCCCCTTTGGCCACGTAGCGTTTGGCTTCGGCTACTACGCGGGTTAATGAGTTTGAGGGCCAGATCGTCTCTCAGAGAGAGAACCGGTCCCTCTTTCTCTCTGATCGGCCCAGGACAGGGAGAAAGGAAATACGCGTAACCATCTCGTAGAATTCGCTGGTGCTGAGATGGTAGAGCTCTTTCAGGGCTTCAAAGCCGGGGGAAGGCATTGGACCCCTTTGGGATGGCCGGATGCCCCACGGCCACGCTGTGGGTCACGGTTTCCCTTGCTGGCGAAGGATCTCGTGGGCCGTTAAGGCTGGCGATCTCTCAGGAGCAGCCTCCGAGCCTCCACGGATTTTCAGTTAGCGAGTAGACATAAAACACGGCAGTGCAACCGCTCGGATCCGTTGGACTGCAGTTCCCATCACTAGCCAGGGAGGGCACAATGGGAATGAGAGTCCGATACACCTGGAAGGCAACCGGGCAGGAGGCTGAACTGGGTCAAGAGGCCGTCTGTTTTTGGGGAACCACATGAGGGGGCACCGAAGGCGGAAAGGTTGCTGCTGATCATGCCCTGCTTGCAAATTTTCCGGGAGCGTCAAGCTTCCAGGTCGGACTGAAATCCAGACGATTCCTATGTTCTTACAAGACAGCACTGGCTGTTGGTTGAGTCAGTGTTCATGGCTTCTCTCTCTCTCTCTCTCTCTCTCTCTTTCATATTCTTTCTCTCTCTGAATCTCTCTTCCTGTACCTCCGACTTTCTCTCCTCCCTCCTCCTTCTCCTTCTAATCCTCCCTCCTCCCTCCCTCCTTCCTCCCCCAACCAGGGGACACTACACAGAAAATGAGAAGCGCACAGCACCCTACTCCCGCCGAGTTGGACGCGTACGCTAAGAAGGTGGCCAACCATCCTCTGACTATCAAAATTTTCCCCAACAGCGTCAAGGTCCCCCAGCGGAAACACATTCGCCGCACGGTGAACGGGCTGGATACGTCCGGGCAGCGGTACAGCCCTTACCCCTCCTCCTCCTCTTCCTCCTCCTCCTCCTCCTCCTCCCAGGCCACCCTGAAAGCCGGCCTCCTGGCTATTGTCCGGCCAAGGACACCCAAGACGGACATGTCATAGTGGAGAGTTCTGACTAAACACAATCCACTTGGAGTAAGAATTGGCAATGCCACTCCAGTATCTTTGCCAAGAATACCCCATGAACTGAAACAAAAGGCTAAAAGATATGACACTGGAAGATGGGACCCTCAGGTCGGAAGGCATCCAACATGCTACTGAGGAACAGCGGAGAACAAGGACAAGTAGCTCCAGAGCTAATGAAGTGGTTGCTCCGGGGGCCGGCGTGCACGGGGGGCGGAAGATGGCGGACGCCGACGCCCCGCCCAACGTGACTGTCTCTACCTCAACCATCCCCCTCTCCATGGCCGCCACCCTCCAGCAGCACCCACCCCCGGACCTGAGCACCATCGTCCACCAGATCAACCAGTTCTGCCAGGCCCGGGCGGGCGTCAGCGCTACCTCAGTCTGCGAGGGACAGATCGCCAACCCCAGCCCCATCAGCCGCAACCTCCTGATCAGCGCGAGCAGCCGGGTCTCGGCCCACCAC